TTTGCTGAAAGTCTTGATCAGCTGTTGATTTCATGCTAGGTTCACTTATGTTTACTATCATATCATCTACAAATAAAGATACTTCAATTACTTCCTTTCCTATTTGTATCCACTTGATCTTCACTTGTCTTATTGTTCTAGCTAAGAATTCAAGTACTATATTGAATAGGTATACAGAGAGTAGACAACTTTATCTTGTTCTTGATTATAGTGGAATTGGTTTGAGTTTCCCTCTATTTAGGTTGATATTAGCTATGGGCTTGCTATAAACTGCCTTTATTATGTTGAGGTACATCCTTTGGATCCCTAGTCTCTCCAGAACTTTTATTTTGGAGGGCTGTGGTATTTTGTTGAAAGCTTTTTCTGCATCTAATGAGAAGATCTGTCATCTCTTATAGTCTGTAGAACATCTGTCGAGGCTCTTCTGGGTTTTACAATCTCCATAAAAATAAGAATTATTCTAATTCTGCTTTATATGCTATTTTGTCTTTTTCTCTTGAAGCTTTTTTTCTTTATTCTGTATATTTAATTAGTGTTTTTATTATTATGTGCTTCAGGGAATTTTTTTCTGGTCCAGTCTTTTTTGAGTTCTGAATGCTTCTTGTAACTTGATGGACATCTCCCTCTTTAGGTTACAGAATTTTTCTTTGATTACTTTTTTTGTAAATATTTTCTGTGCCTTTGATCTGGGTTTCTTCTCTTCCCTCTAGTCTTATTATTCTTACTTAGATTAGGTCTTTTTGTATTTTTTTTGGTGGTGTTTTAGATTTAACACTTTCTTTTCCTAAGGTATCCATTTCTTCTATCTGATTGTCAATGGCTGAGAGTCTCTCTTGTATTTCTTCTGTTTTGTAAGTGAGGCTTGCCTCTGAGGTTTTTGTTTTCTTCCTAATTTTTTTCATTTCCAGTTTTACTTCAGTTTGGGTTTTTTCAGTGATTCTGTGTCTTGAACTGTTTTCAATGTCTCATTCTCCCATTTGTTTGTGTTTGTAAGGACTTCATTAATAGACTTATTCATATCCTCCTTAAGGTATGAAATCCTTGCCTTGTGTTTTATGGAATTTTTCAGGGCTTACTCTTGTAGGGTTTCTGGGTTCTGGTAATAACATATTGTCTTTGATATTAATGATTGTGTTTTTGTATCAGATCTAGGTTTTGGATATTTGTAATTCTAAGTGTTGATATATGGTCTTGTCTTTGTTGAGTGGGTGGTCCATGCTTTGGTTTCGGTTGTCTTCACTAGATCTTAGGAACATGTGGTGGCTGTAGGTTGCAGGGTAGAAAATGTTTCTGAGGCCATTCTAAGTGTGGACACTGGGCATCCTGAGTATAACATGTTTCCAGGCAATGGGGGTTGATACAAAGGGAAAGAGATGGGCTGAGGGGACCCACAGAAAGGAGGAAAGTTTTCTTTGCTGTCATGTTTACCAGAGTCCCCAAGTAATAGAATCAGAGAGGGAGGGCAGACCTCTTGAAAGTGGTTTGCTCAAGGTCTAGGGATGGAATTGTGGAATTTGCACTGGAGGAGAGGAAGGAGACTGAAGATCACCTACTTCATTCCCAGGCTGGCATGGCCAATGTGTTCCCAGGTAGAGTGTGCTTCCAGGTATTGGTGATTGACACATAGGGATGAGATGAGAGAGGAAAGCTGGGTCCACTGTGAGGTTCTACTGAGTCTCGGGAGAATGGAGACAGAAATGGAGGACAGGTTTCTGCAAGTGGTCTACCTGAGGGCTGGGGATGAGTCTTCTCAATGTGAACTATACTGAAAAGTCACTGAATCAGTGAAAGCCAAGGAGACTTGGAGATGGCTCTTTATAACAGCAGAGATGTAAAAGCCTAAATGTTAGACATGAAAAATAACACAGCTCTGTGACTAAGGGATTACACCTAGGATTGTGGCAGTAATTTAACATGATGTTTATGAAGAATTTCCAGTGGAAGGAAACAGTTCAAAACAGAAATGAATGGTGGGAAAATAAACAAAATTTTTGAAGACTAACATAACAATCATGGCCAACACGTGTTAAATCTGTACATACAGAGTCTGGAATATCCTAAAAGAAATACACAAATGTATATATGCAATATGTTATTGTTTTCTACAATTTGAACACATAAACATAAGTATACTAACTTCATGTTGTATACAAATAAAATTATAGATTTTGGTGAACAGTAACTTAAAATGCAACTCTGATTGTGAGAATAACTCAGGCTTGTGTCCTACTGATAACCATATAAGATGAGATAATTACTAAATCTCTCTAAAATCCTGGAAAGGTGAGCTATTATGTTAGTCAGGGTCCTCTAGAGTATCATAACTTACACAATGAATCTATCTCTATGTGTATAGAAAGGGGATTTAATAGAATGACTTACAGGCTGCAGTCCAGTTAATCCATCAATGGCTGGCTGTGAAAGGAAAGTCCAAGAATCCAGGCCACAATGCTAGATGTCTTCTTTATATGCTGGACTCCCAAAGAAGTAGGCTCTAATGCCAGTGATGTAATGGATGTGCTAGCAAGGCAAGGGCAAGCAGGCAAAGAGAGAAAGCTCCCTTCTTCATTGTCCTTATACAGACTCCCAACCGGAAGTATGGCCCAGACTAAAGACATCTTTCCACCTCAAGATCCAGATCACAGGTGTGTCTTCCTGTCTCAAAAGTCCCAGCCAGAAATGAATTTACCCAGTTCAAACCAAGCAAAATATCTCTCACGGGTGTGCCCTTCTTTTCTGAATTGCAGTTCATTCCAGATGCAATCAAGTTGACAGCTGAGAGTAGCCATCACAGGTAGCTACCTTCTTATACAGGCAAAAATTTTATATGCTCTGAAGAGAAAGCAAAGTGTGTCATTTTAAAACAAAACAGAAAACAAACAACAACAATATAAAACCTTGCCAAGTATTAAAAAAAAAAAATCCACAAAGTAGCTTCACTATTGAACTATACCAGGGAAGTAATGAGTAACCAAGATCAGTTCTTCCCAATTTCTTCTCAAATAAAGGAGTACAGGAAAAACATCCTGATTTATCCCATGAGACTAGCATGACCTTGGTAACAAAACTAAAGAAAGGTAACCCATAACCTAATGTTCCCAATGCACAGAGATGCTAAAAATTACACCAACAAGATCTTAGCAAATTCCAACAATGTAGAAGATGGCTGAGGGCTAACAAGATGTCTCTCTCAGTGGTTAAAGGCACTTATTGGTCAGGTCTAAGAACCTGAGTTCCATCCCCTGATCCTATGGTGGAAGGAAAGAATTGACTCATGAAAGTTGTCCTCTGACATCCACATACGTGTTCGCATGCTATCGCACATGTATGCACACACACATTATCATTGTAAAAAGGAAACCATTTTATAGTGAAGCCAAGTTGGACTTTACCTAGATGAATGATGTTGATTACATCCCTAAAATCAATGTGATATTAAGAAATGAGAGAATAGAGTTCTGGGCATGATGGCTCATGGCTTCACACTGTATTTAGCTGACACAGAAGGATTGACCTGAGTTCAGGGCATTCCAGGGCCACATGGCAAGTACTCAAACATCCTAGACCACAAAGACAGCTTCTCAAAGTGTTGTGGGGAATCCAATGTCTTTTGTTTGTTTGTTTGTTTGTTATTTTGAGACAGGGTTTCTCTGTGTAGCTTTGGAGCCTATGCTGGCACTCGCTCTGGAGACTACGCTGGCCTCTAACTCATAGAGATCTCCCCAGTGCTGGGATTAAAGGCATGCGCCACCAACCCCTTGCCAATGTCTTTTTAATTATACTTTTATATGTTTTAACTATAACATTTCTCCCTTGCCTTTCCTCCTTCTAAACCCTCCCAGTGTGTTTGTTTGTTTGTTTGTTTTTTAAAAAAAACTACCCCTTTCCTAGAAATCTAAAGCACACTGCAAGTTCCCAATGTAGTGAATGGTATTTATGCAAATTCACAGTTAAGATAGCATCTGATAGTAAAAGCAGAGTCCCTTTCCTCCCAAGAGCACAAAAGAAAGAGCAGTATCAGCCACTTCCCCATAGCTGTGGCAAAACCACCCTAAAGGAAAGGCAGGGTGAGTGAGTGGAAAGTGATTTGAACTCAGCGTTTCAGAGATT